TTTTAGTTGTCCAGATCATTTCTTTCTATTTTTTAGTAGAGACAGGGTCTCGCTCTTGGTCCCGAACTCCTGACCTTGAGCGATCCACCCGCTTCGGCCTCCCAGAGTGCTAGGATTACAGGCGTGAGCCACCGCGCCCAGCCCCAGCCTTTTTTTTAATTAACTAAGTGCATAGTTTACATTAAGGTTTACGCTGTTTTGCACAGTTCTACAGGTTTTGACGAGCGCATAATGTCAGGTATCCACCATTACCATTATACGAAATAGTTTCACTACCCTGAAAGCCTCTTGTGCTCCACCCATCCTCTCTTCGTCCCTGCCTCCACAAAGGGACCTCGTGAGGCAGAAACAAAGGCAGAGGTTCGAGGACTCGCCCAGGACCCGGAGCCAGAGAGGCAGGGCCTGGAACAGGCTCGGGGCACCTCCTGCCCCGGCAGCCCAGCCCACGCGGTCAGCACGCCCACCTCTTCCTTCCATGGGCTCCTGGTCCCGCACCCCCCTATTTCTCCCACACCCCCGGGGATGGCCCACACCTTCCTTGCATTCGCTCATTCCCTCAATGGTTCTTGGTCACACGAAAGCGCACGAACACAAGCACATACGCACGCGTGTACACAGCCGCCGCCGCACAGCTCACCCTGAGGCCCTTCCGGACGTCCAGCAGCAGCGTCTGCACCTCCTGCAGGTACTCCCAGGATGGGTGGCCCTCGAGCAGCACGTCCTGCACCGACTCGGCGGCACTGAGGCTCACCAGGACCCACAGGCACCGCAGCTCGCGCTCGCTCACTCGGGCCCTCCGCTGCGGAGACGGGAGAAATCACTGGAACCCCCAGAAACGCGCCTTTCGGCTCTGACACCCCCCCACACCCCCAGGGACTTGCCCCTGCAGAGGGAGCAGACTACAGGGTGGCTGCTGTGGGCGCTTAGGCCTGGCCACGGGTGGGCTTGCCGAGGGGCGGGGAATGGCCCCGGTCAGCAGCGCAGCCTGCCGCGACCAACACGCCCCTGCGGGTGGGGCCACGGGAGGCAGGGTCTCCCCAGCCCGGGAGGGGGTTCTCACCAGCCTGGTGACATTGGCGATTCTGAACACCCCCTCGTAAGGCACGCTGATCATGTAGTTGATGGGGAAGTAGTGTTTCTGGGAAGGGACAAAAACAAACCATGAAGTCGGAGGCAGAAATGAACTTAGAAAGGCTCCCCGAACCTCCCAGATGAATTCCGATGGAGGAGGGGACCCCAGGCCCAGCCCTGTGATGGCAGAGATGGCCCTCTGCCGAGAGGGTGAGCCTGGCTCTCACCTGGGATAGAGAGAGCTCACTTTCCTCTGGGACACAGGGAGGGTAAAACAAAACATAGTTCCTGTTAAGGCAGAAGTTTCAAACCCGGGGGTTTTGAAATACTTTTGAAGTTTGAAATACTTCAAAAAAGATATATTGATTCTGGGGGTAAAGATGTTCTAAAACTTGTCATGGTTGCACAACTCAGAACATACCAAAACCCATTCAGTTGTACACTTTCAATTGTATGGTATGGGAATTATCTCAATAAATCCATGAAAAAAAGAAAGAAAAGGATAGCCAGGCATTGTGGTGCACATCTATAGTCCCAGCTACTCAGGAGGCTGAGGTAGGAGGATCGCCCGAGCCCAGGAGTTTAAGACCAGCCTGGGCAACAAAGCAAGACCTCATCTCTTAAGAAAAAAGAATTTTTCTAACATTCAAAAAAAAATTTTTTTAAGACATACAGAGCCACATGGGTGTCTCCACTCTACAAAAAGAACCGAACATTGGCCGGGCACGGTGGCTCACGCCTGTAATCCTAGCACTCTGGGAGGCCGAGGCGGGCAGATTGTTTGAGCTCAGGAGTTCGAAACCAGCCTGA